TGTGTGTGTGTGTGTGTGTGTGTTTGTGTGTGTAATTTCCCCGTGATACTCCAATAATTCAATACAACTTCCTCGACGTGATAAATCCGACTCGATCAACCATCGATCGAAAACGGTGCAAGCTATGCGAAAATAATAATTATCAGGTGAAATCTCACTGTTTCTAGCATCTAGCTAGTGGACAACACGCGCAAACGCGAAGGAACGCAGAGGGAAGAGGCGCGATGATGCGAATACGCGCGCGTAACGGACACGAGGGGCACGCATCCTGTCATTAGTTCCATAACGCTCGCCTTGTTCAATGCATTCGGTTCAATGTCACCTCCGTCCCTCTCCTTCCTGCCGGTTCCTCTAGCAGCCCCTTGTCCATCCTTCAATTTTCATTCTCTCCCTCTCCCCCTCTCTCTCTTTCTTTTTCTCTGTCTATGTCACGTTCTGACGTACAGCCTGCTTTTCGTCTCGCGCGTCTATCGGTGGTCCATTCGTGCGGCCGCATTCATTCCAAGTACGAAACAGAAGCTCGCGTATTCACGTCCGCTCTCCTAACTGGAAGATTAAGCGAGAAACGTCCTCGTTTCCTCTCTCTAGGCTCCTACGTGCAGGCAGTTCGATTCCTCGCGACACCGCCCGCGTGACGTTATTTCCAGATCTTCTCGGCATTTTAAATTTTATTTTTGGACCGCGCGATTTCTGCTCAATACTTTGAATTGATACCGATGATAGTTAGTTAGTTAGTGGCGAGACTCTCGGTTCCATTTCTATTAAAAACAGATCATCAGGGTATTTATTCGATTAGAAAATGAAGAAATCGAGAGAGAGAGAGAGAGAGAGAGAGAGTGAAAAAAAAGAAAAGAACAAAGTTTCACGATGCAAAGGTGAATTCGATTTCCCGTTGCAGATATCGAGATGACGAAGCTACTCGTAGTAACGATGCTGTGCCTACTCGGCCAGAAAGTGCTCTCGATGCCCGTGGCCGAGAACCAAGATCCTCTCCAGGTGGTCCCACTGGAGAAGTCGGCGAACCCGAGCAAACCCGAGGTCCCGGCAACTCCCGAAGTCGCTGTGGCAGCGAGCTCGGAAGCCGCGGCACCGCCGGCAGCCGAGGCGAAGTCCGCCGAGGCTGAGAAGCCGAGCGTGAGAAGCGAGCTCGCGGCCGAGAACGCTCAACCGTCTGAGAACGCCGCAGAGGAGAAGAAAGAAGACGCCCAGCAAGCGAAACCCGAGGAGAAGAAGGAAGAACAACCCGGCTTGGAGAAGCAGCCTGAACAGCAGCAACAGCCTGCGCAAGAGCAAAAGCCTGAACCGGCACAGGAAGCCAAAAAGGAGGAGGAAAGCCTGAAGCAGGCGGCTTCCGAGTCTCACGAGACCGTGGTGCAAGCCGCTCCTCAAGAACAAAAGCAGGACGCTGCCGAAGTGCCGGCAGAACAACCCGTTGGTGTAAGTCGCTAATTTTCTTAGCGGATTGCGGATTTCGAGCTTGAGAAGACAATTTAAAAGAGAGTCAAGAGCTCGGTAGAAAGTTGTTCTACGAATTACAGTTTGAATATTTTATTTTTTTATTTTTTTTTTTTTCATGTTATGTGCATTCAGTTCTTACGAATTTCTTACAAAATTGTAAAATTTCCTAGTACAAGCGTAAAAATTCATAGCATATATTATTTGTTGTCAGTATGAATTACGATACTCAAGTTCCAAATACGCAAAATTATTACTCCTTATAATACGTAATAGACAAATTCTCCATTTTTTTTTAGATAGAATTCTTTCGTGAAAGAATACAAAAAATTGCACAAACATTCACAGTCCAGTTACGAGTAACAGAATCTAATTCTCTCAGTCGTAACGCAGACGACAAAACTTGATTTTCTCAACCAGATCTTGTTCACGTTGCAGAAATCTGCAGTGGCAGAGAGCAAGAGCTCCGAGCAGGTAGATTCTGCGGAGAAGAGCTTGGAAGCGGCAAAGGAAGAGGCAGCGGAAGAGAAGAAGGCCGAAGAAGCGAAAGCTAGCGTAAGGAAGGAGGACGAGGCTGGCTCCGCAGCTTCCGAATCGTCGGAAGAGAAAGCTCAGCCAGCTGCGGAGGAGAAGAAACTCGAGAAGGAAGAGGAGAAGAAAGCCGAGGAGAAGCCCGACCGTGTGACTCGTGACGCCGAGGTAGCTGCCCCGGAAGAGAAGAAGGCGCCAGAACAGCCAGCCGAAGCTGAAAACAGCCAACAAGATCAGGCTAAATCTCCAGAGGAGAACAAACCAGCCGCCAAGAGCGAGAAGGTCCAGCCCATCATCGAACAACCAGCGATCAGCCCTGAAGAATCGGCCAAGAGCGAGGAGAAACAGCCTGCTGAAGCCGCTGCTCAACCCGAGAAAGAAGCAAAAAGCGCCGAAGCAGCTGCCGCAGCTGCTTCCGGCAGCGCCCAAGAGTCTGCTGACCAATCGGCAGCAAAGTCGGCCGAATCTAGCCAGACTAAACGCGAAACCGCGGATGCTCAGCCTCAAGCAAAATCCGAACAGCAAGCCGAGGAGAACAAGGAAGAGCCAGTGAAGCAACAGGAACCAGCGAAGGAGGCGAAAGAGGCGAAGGAAGCGAAATCAGACGAATCCTCCGAGGAGAAATCGGCTGAGAAGAAGGAGAGCAAGGGCAGCGAGGAGGAGAAGTCATCCGAGGAGTCTTCCTCTAAGCAAGAGTCCAAGCCAGCCGAAGAATCCAAGCCCGAATTATTGCCAAAACCGCAAGAACTGACAGCGTTGTAAGTGAATCGATCGAAGGTAACGGTCGCAGAGAGAGGCGGGAAGATGAAGGAGGGTAGCCCCGAAAAGATTCAGTAAATTTTTCGAACGAAGCGCGGATACTGGCTCGCCGCTCGTCCAGACCAGAATTTTGCGTTCATCGACCAGCGAT